ACGAGCTTCGAACAATAGGCGGCTGCCCAAGCTGTTGTCGTACAGTCGCGTCTCTGCCGTGATTTGATTGTTTAACTCCGCATACATGGTAAGGGTTGACTTTGTCCGGGCAGCCTCCAGCCATTGCACATTCTCCTGCTCGCGGACCCTCTTCCGCACCACAGACTCCCATTCTTTCTCTGTGGTCGCCTACACCGGTTCTGTGAAGAAGCCGAACTTTTTCTCAAGCTGGTAGAAGCGCTTTCGCCAACGGCTCTGCAGAGAAGTCATATGTGCGTATATGAACAGCCTCTTGGCCCAGCGGCACCGGTCCATGAGCCGAAGCCGCGCGTCATAGGAAACCTCGCTTGTCGCCTCCCTCGCTTCGAAAGACGACCAGCCCAGGTCCCCCTGCACTGCCTCATTCGCCACCATGCCATGGCAGCCCAGCGCTTGGCGTCCCACTTCTCGTTGTCTGCGCTCCAAGGCGGTTCTTGTGTCACCTGGTACACACACCACTGCGTTGGCGAACGTCAAACCTGGCACCACCACCGCCTTCCACATTTCGCGGCTCACTATGAACGTATTACAGCTCCATAGGCTGCGCTTACGGAGGATGTTAGCTCCCCGTGTGGCGGATTGACGGAGGTGGACGTAATGCTCTTTCAGATAGTCTGCCTCGTTGGACAACTCAACGCCTAGGTACTTATACTTATTCAGTACCGGTAATACGTCAAGACCCAATCTGAGGCTATCGAGCTTTTCTTTCTCAGTGCCCGCGAATTGTATCACGGCGGACTTGGATGTGTTGTACTTGAGACCAAGCACGGCAGCCTCATCAGCGCATATGTCGAGAAGTTTCTGCATCGCCGTTGCACAGCCCGCCGTCAGCAAAATGTCGTCCTCGAAGGTCAGACCCGGTAGCATTAAGTTCACGGCCTCTCCATTTTCAACGTGCAGTAGCGAGAAGCCCAGTCCTGATTTTATCAACCGCTCCTCTAGTCGCGCGACATACAACATGTAGAGAAGCGGCGAGAGTGGGCATCCTTGGCGTAATCCACGTGTTACGACGATTTCTTCTGACCTGACCTCTCCCACTTGGGTTGTCACTGTGTTGCCTGTGTATAAGCGATTAATAAGCTCGGTCCACTGAGTCGGCATTTCGAGCTGCTCTAGCCTTGATAGAAGCTTGTCGTGTGGAACGCTGTCATAAGCCTTGGCGACGTCTAAGAAGGTGCATATTAGCCTTCTCTCCTCTTTTCGAGCCACTTCAATGTACTGTGTAAGGGTGTACACATTGTCCTCCAGTCGCCGGCCAGGGAGAGTCGACGAGGAAGAAGAGAACGAGAGCACCAAAGCAGTGAGCTGTATCGTTTCAATTATTTTTCAACCTCGAATATTCTTACACTAAATTCAATCTAGTGATCGAATTCAGTAAAGTGTAGTGATTCAAACGATACCTCACTATCATGTAATTTCAATAGAAAACATTAGAAAATCAACATACAGTTATGTGCGTATCGAACGACCATCTTTTTGAATCGGTGGGCTTCAATAGCAAGACCGTTCTAGACTTCATAAACAACTAAGTAGATGTATTTCTTCATTTTCATGCTTAAGGTTGGAACCAGGAGGGCTTAGCGATCCTAAAAATATCAAACAGTCATTGAAACTAACTCGAAAAAACTTAAATTTCAAGAAAATAACGACACTCAATATATCTAGAAGAAGCACCAACTAAACCGTTCTTCTTGAATTTCTTCGAAAATAGAACACAGTCAAACGAAATTTCTTCTTCTTCTAAAGTTCACGTGTGGTTAACACCGGCAAGATCGAGTCTTTTACGCAGAAATATTGACTATTCCGAAAAAAGAACAGAATTATGAATCCTAAAACAGGCGGAAGCAACGACGACCCGGAGACACCCCAAATCACACTTGACCACACCAACAACAAAGAAATATGCGACATCCACCTAAGCTTCATAAGATTAATCGAAGACGATAAAGCTAGGATTAACAAAGAAACTGGTTCACAACTGTTACAACTGCTTGCGAGACTAATGAGCATTAGCTCGCGTCAAGAAGCCGAAAACGCAGCTCTTCGAGCAGTGCTCGTAGAACGAGAGAAAAACACCACGTACGCGGACGTGCTGCGAGGGAACAGGAACGACCCCAACGGGTTGGGAGGGAGACCATCTGTGGATGCGTTACAAACGACACCACAACCTCCCGGCCCGGGGAGATCACCCGCGCAGATGGATCATGCAATGCTAATCTATCTGAGATCTCCAGCACTGAACGCGTCGAACAACATCAAAGTAATCTTGAAAAAATACTTTGAGCCGCACAGCCTGGGACTGGGTGAAGTTTCAGTGCGAGACATCAGAGAAGGAGTGGCAGTACTATCATCATCAGCTGAAGGACTGCAGAATCTCCAGGACGCGATCGAAATTCACCCAAGCACCAAAGATCTGTTCGTGCTTAAAAAACAGACAAAACGTCGACCACAATTCCGTGTCTCGGGCGTCGACCCTGACATTCTATCTGCGGAATTCTTCACAAAACTTCAAAGTCAAAACCCAGAGATTGAAATTGAACCTTCGGACTTCAGTCACCGGATTTCATTCAAAGAAAAATCGGGGAACAACACTCACATCTTTGAAGTGAGCGCCAAGGTCTACAAGAAACTAAAAGAAACAAACAAACTGCGCCTAGGCTGGACTTCCTGCTCCGTAACAGAGAACTTCTATGTCCCCAGGTGCGACAAATGCTGCACCTACGGACATACAAAAGCAAAATGTGCATCACAGATGATCTTCTGCTCCATCTGTGCGGGCAACCACCCAGCACAGGAGTGCAGAATAACAAACTATGAGGAGGGTAAATGCCGCGCATGTATCAACCGAAGGGTCAATGCCAACCACCCTTTTGGAGCGAGCGAATGCGGTACACACGCCTTCCACGTTTCACAACTCCGGTCTCGGACAGATTACCCAAAATAAGCAAACACAAAACTAATATTAACAAACAACATTACAATCGGAAAAAAAAGGAGTTAAGAAGGAACAACCCGAGTAAAGCCTATAAAGAGAAAACGCATCATACAAACAAAACAAAACATAAGTTGACCGATGATTAATAAATTAGAGATCTTACAAATCAACTTAGGGAGATCAAGGGCCGCAACTGTTAATCTGGTTAATATATACACTGAAAATAACGCTGAATTTATTTTAATTCAGGAACCATATGTTTTCAATAACCACATTACAAGTATTCCAAACTCAGAACCATTTTTTCACTGCCCCTTAGATCCCAAATGCGCCATTATAGTTAGAGACCGATCTTGTTCAATCTTTCCAAAAATACTTGAAAACGATCTAATAGTCTTGCAATGTACATACTCAAACAAAGCAGTAACAATAATAAATGTCTACATATCTCCTACAGCTTCATTTAATACATTCCTAACACGTCTTGAGTCAATCATAACAATAGACAAAAACGACATAATCATAGCCGGAGATTTTAATGCAAGACACACTAATTGGGGGGACAAAATAGATGATGACCGAGGGGAACAATTAAATAATTTTGTACTAACACATGATCTTATCATATTAAACGACCAACACTCTATTCCTACATTCTCTACCGTAAACGGAGAAAGTTGGATAGACCTTTCAATCATAACCCCTTCTCTAGCTCATAACGTAACACATTGGGAAGTATTAGAAACTGATAGTTTAAGTGATCATAACTTTATTGCCTTTCGATTCTTCAATCAAAAGCAAACCATGCAAAAAAGATTAACATTAAAAAGCTACTCAAAAATAGAATTACTTATAAAACACGATGATTGGTTTAAGACCTGGGTACCTAAACACTACTCACCAGAATGGATAGATCACATATTAGATATACTATACAAAAAATTCTTAATTTGGATAAAAAAGTGTGAACGAAACGTTCGATCCGGAAATCGCACGGTCCCTTGGTGGTCAGTTGATCTACAGATCATGAGATCTAAATCTAATGCACTAAGAAGAAGGTACCAAAGATCATATAACACAGATATTAGATCACTGCAAAAACGAATTTATTACGACTACAGAGCTACATACAAGGAAGCCATCCTTCATGCTAAAATTTCAGCTTGGCAGGAATCATGTTCCGCTACCACAAAAAAGTCTCTCTTCGGAATCCCATATAAACTTGCATTTAATAAGAGGAGGTCACCCCTAATTCTTCCACCGATATTGAGAGCAGATAATACTTTAACTTCTTCATTTAATGAATCAGTTCAATATATTTTAGATACGGTGTTCCCAACGGACGACATTACAAAAGACTCACCATATATAACTAGCTTACGACAATACTTATGCACTCCCTCATTCTCTCCACCAGATGTTGAACTAACATTTCAAGAAATATCAAACATAATAACTAAACTACGACTTAAAACCGCCCCCGGATTAGACAAAATCAATGTTACTTTTCTTAAATATTTTTGGCATAACCATCCCGAATTTTTCCTCGCTCTATTCAACTCCTGTCTAACATCTGGATATTTTCCAAAGGAGTGGAAGAAAGGGAAAATACTACTGCTAAATAAAAAAGATGACGACAAAGCAAAACCCAACGCCTATCGCCCAATTTGCCTAAATTCCATACTCGGAAAAGTTTTAGAACGTGCACTCTATAGCAGATTATATTTCTTCCTTAACTCAAAAAAACTATTACACCCACGACAATTCGGGTTCACACATCTTAAATCATCTACACAAGCTCTGTTCACACTTACTACACATCTACAAAAACTAAAAAATAAATCAACAGCGGTAGCTATGGTATCCCTAGACTTTACAGGAGCATTTAACACACTATGTTATCCGGTAGTTTTGGCCTATTTAAAACACCATTCTTGCCCAAGTAATCTATACAATCTGCTATATTCATTCTTCCACGATAGAACCGTCACATATATCACTCCAGAAAAACAAGAAATAAACAAATCAATTAATATGGGATGCCCCCAGGGCTCTCCACTAAGCCCCTTACTATGGAATATGTTACTATCAGGATTACTAGAAAGAACCTTTCCGAATCACATATATCTACAAGCGTTTGCAGATGACATCGTAGTTGTCATAGAAGGGAACTCAAGAAGAGAATTAGAAGAAAGAACTATCGAAATACTGCAAGAAATAGGACAGTGGACATCCGAACGTAAACTATATTTGAACTACTCGAAATGTAAATGTCTAATAATAACTAGAGGAGAACTATATAAAAAAAGACCCCCAATAATAAAATTTCACGATCATAAGTTAGAAATAGTGAAACAACTTAAAATTTTAGGAGTCATTTATGACTCACATTTAACCTTCTTACCACACCTTCAATATATAAAACAGAAAGTTCAAATCCATACAGCCAACATCTCAAAAATATACTCGACAAATTGGGGTATCACATCAAGCCAACTACGGGAAATATACTTACGAAGCATAGAAAGATATATAGTGTATGGATCACCCGCGTGGTGGAGACCATCAGGAAATTCACATATGTTAAGACAACTGCAATCCATACAAAGGTTACCATTACTTAAAATAGCAAGAGCGTTCCGCACAGTTTCTAACCTAAGCCTGCCTATACTATGTAATATCATCCCAATCAACATTACTCTTGACGTAGAATCATTTATGTTTAATGTCTTCCAACTTAAGATACCCGCCCAATTCGATAGCTTTAGTATCTCCCCCACAGAGGTATCGTATCCTATAGATCTTTGGAAAACTCATCCAACAAAGAGATTCAATATATCATTCCAAAGAATCAATTCTATTACTGTATCTCAAATAACCAACGTCATATCACTCTATACAGATGGTTCAGTGTACTTAGATCAGGTGGGAGCAGCATTCGTTATTCTGAAAAACAATGGAAGAATTATAAAAATAGGAAAATATCGCTTACCAAAACACAGTACAATATTCGATGCAGAGGCTATTGCCATATTAAAAGCCCTTGATTATATTCTTACAACAAGAGATGGACTACATTGTAACATATACACCGACAGCCTATCAGTCCTACAAGCATTGGCAAATCCAAACAATGCAATTCCTTTAATTAACGAAATAAAACATATAATCCAATCAGTCAACAGATTTAATACAACGGCTTTTTTTCACGTCAAAAGCCATACTAATATTTTAGGGAACGATCTAGCCGACCAATTTGCAAACTCGGCACGTTATCATGGCCAATACATACACCTACCAAAATCAAAACAAAATATAAAACATACAATAATGGAATTAGCACGTAGGAGATGGGATCACTCTTGGCAAAACGATGGCAAAAACACAGAATTATTTAAATGGATACCATCAACCAATCATATACCCATTAGCTTCCCTCCTTCTAGTAACATCACACAAATTATTACTGCACACGGCAGATTTCCTTTTTATTTCTATAGATTTAATATACACAGCCACACTACTTGTCCCTGTGGACAAACTTGTACTAGTATGGATCATTACTTTACTGCATGCCATCTAACAAAACCATTTATTCAAAAACTTTCAATATCGCACATAAACTTGAATGTTCGTCAAAAGCTACTGAACTCTAAAACTCATATAAATACTCTGGAGGCGTTAGTTAAACATATTTCAGACAACATTCCATAGTATATAAATAAATAAATATATATATATATATATATATATATATATATATATATATATATGTGTGTATATGTATACATATGTGAATGTATAAGTATGTGTGTTTATATGTGCGCGTGAGTGTATGTATATGTAGGTATGTATGTGTGTATGTATATGTATTTATGATTATATGTATTTGTAACAAACTTGAGAATGGAAGATATCAATCTCAAGTGAAAAACAAAAACTACTGTAAAAAACATTTCTTACAGACTAACTTTTAACCCAAACAAGAACGGAATCCAAGAAAAAGACAACCAAAAGTCATCTTTAAACCCTGAACTGCTAATATGCACACTGTCGATGGCCTTGGAAGACCCAAAAGTGGTGGATAGGGGGGTTTGGACCAGTTCCATTCTCCGGGCTTCCTTAGCTTCTTAGAAAAAAAAAAAAAAACGCCATCTCCATGAGAAGGCTCCATCTTTGGTTAGGAGAGCCGTGGACTAGTTCCTGGTTCGGAGCTTCTCCTTAGCTTTCCATCCTGAACCAACACCACAATCAATGGCAATTGGAAGGCCCACAACATGATCAGGGGGAGTGAGCCAGTTTCCTTCCCTAGGATTCCACTAACCACCCGCGACAAACAGCCATCCACAGAGAAGACCCCAAACAACAGGTTACGAGGACCTAAGACTAGTTCCAGGTTCTGGGCTTCTCAGCAAGAGTAACGAGAGTATCTACAATAAAACTTGAACGAAAAGTCATCTACTCTCAGAGGAACAGTGTTCAGGAACGGACAACCAAGACAGACAGTGGAAAAGAAAAGAGGTTGATCTCTTATTGCACCCCTCAAGACCGACCACCAACAACAAACAACGTACGAAAAGAAAAGTAATACTGACGAAAACGACTAAATATTTAGTGTCTGTTTCAAGGCATAACCTCATCCCTTCCAATCTCAAAAAAAAAAGATTAATAGCAATACATGATAAGAATACAGGATGCAAACATGAAGTTTTATAAATGTGATCCTTCTCCTTCGGGGGAAAATGTAAATATGTAAATAGGTAAATACTAGGGTATGTATAGCTATAATAATAATCTCTTGCTGTAAAATATAATCATTAAGAAAATCAAAAACAACGAAAAATTACAATGCTCTCTGCTCCCTCCTCCCCCCCCCCCCCTCAAAAAATAATTAAGGCGACAGACAAATAAGAAATAAAATGAAAACATACATGAGAACGCCAAGATACGTAGAAATACATAACTAATTTTAAAATAAAATCATTAAAAGAGAATAAAATTTTAACATTGTTTCCAATCCATTTTCTTATATATTCCAGTACGAAAATTTTAAAGAAGACAACTTCCTCGTCGTCAAGAACACAGAAGACAAGAGGCAGGACCAAGCGGAACAACAGTTAATAACTTAATACCAAAGGAAAAAAAACGAAACACAAATACTCACAATTGCTCGCAAGATTCTCCAAGTTCGTTCCAATGCCAATGTTCAGCTGTCTCCCTGTTTTTCTTTTTAATTGGCTTTAAGGACTAAAGAAACGTTCGGTCAATTACGGCCCTCATTTTTTATATTATATTGGATCAAACCTGTTATACCGTCAGGTGGTGCAGGTCGAGAGGAACAGTTTATTTCCTTTTTTTTATCTCTCACTTAGAAGTTGAGTAATTGAGTCGCCGGCCACGACGAAACCCTCCTTGGAGCTCGGTGAGAATACCCTTTTTCTCCACCCATGTTGTAATGCGCTCTTTCAGGATGCTTGCGAAAACCCTGTACACAATGCTGGTGACTGTAAGGGGCCTGTAGTTCCGAAGGTAGCGCCGATCTCCTCCTTTCTTCGGCACAAGCACAACCCTACCTCGCCTCCAGTCTCTAGGTACAGGCTGTCTTCCGATGAGAATGTCCGTGAAGATCTCAGCCAGGTGTTCTCTCGAATCCTTTTGTAGTGTTTTGAGGACGCATGCTTGTATCTCGTCTAAGCCTGGAGCCGTGCTGCTTTTGACGTGGGCCAGAGCACGTACATTTGAAACCAGGCCAATCTTCTCGTCGGAACTCGCGAGAGTACATTCCGTGCTGTTCTCTGTGGTGATTGCTTGGACCAGCGCCGTTTCCTGTGGTGCGAACACTTCTATCAAATGCTCTGTGAGACACTGGTCAAGCGCGTCCACCTCCAATCCCGTGCGCTCGTCTATGATTACTGGAGTTTGATCCATGCCGTCCAGGGTACCCAGGTATTTCCAAAACTTTTTGGGCGCATCTTTCCCACTTGACCGTATTTCCCTAATTTTATCTAGGTCTGCAGCAGCCAGCTTCTGTTGTACCAGTTGTTTGGTGGCGTTCTTTTGTTCCTGGTACATTTTCCACTTTTCTGCGATCTCGTGGCTGGACCTCGTGTGGAGTGCGAAACGGTGCTGCCGATTCACCTCTTTTCGCAATTGGATTGCAGCTTGGACCTCTCCATCCCACCATCGCTTCCGTCGCCTTTGGCCACCATGACTCCTTGTTCAAAGCTGTCTTATCAGTTGTTTTAGTGTATCTGCGTATTCCACGTACCCTGATACGTTCTTCCTCTGGTCGCTATTCTCAAACATTTCAACTACATTAGCCGCAGCTGCGTGGGAAAGACACGGCCGACTTGTGTCATGCCGCTTGTTTCTCTCTTTATTCCACACTCATTTAGACAGCTGAAGAGTAATTCTATTGTGATCACTGCCTACACTATTCTCCCCCGCTTCGTCAATTTGGACGCGTAACAGGTATCGCCCCAAATGATGTGAGATCAGGGCATAGTCAACGCAAGATTTGCTGTCGCGTGCATTCCATGTATATTGACCTTCACAATTGGAGCGTAGGTTGATTACTTCTAAGTCTAGCTCTTCCGCTATTTTCCGTAGCATGCGCCCCTTGTCGTCCTCCCGTCCATCCAACTCGTGTATATGTCCATTAAAGTCTCCCATGATTAGCAGATTTTTTCCGGTTGCCATTGTTCGTGCGTCGTTAGCTATACACTCCATATAGACGGTTCTCCTCACGACGCGCGCTTCCCACCGAGAGGTACAGAATACGCACTGCCACAGGAAAACCTAAAAGTTCCCCAGTTAACCACAAATGTTCCTTGCACCCCTGGAGCTCTCTTTTCCAGTCTGACCCACTGCGCCAAAAGGCCCCCACTCCGCCTCCACGTCGCTGTCCTACACGATTGCATCCTGCCCAGCGCCTATGGCTGAGTTTACATGGATGCGATCGTAGCGAATCGAATCGAGATTAACCGCCTATGATTGGGTAGACGAGGAAGGGAAAGGAGGATCGCGGGCGCGTGACTGGTCACATCTCGATTCGATGCGCCATGGTCGCATCCATGGAAACGTAGCCAATCGGGGTGTGCAGGGGGCTCCTCAAAATCTCTCATATGAGTTTCCGCCACTCCGAACAGTAACATATTTGCAGCCTCCATTTCTTGGAAGAGTTCTTGCCACTCCTGCTCTCTACGCGCTCCTTGTAGATTTAAGAACCCCGCTGCGACCGTTGCCTGCCGTCGGCACATTCGTTTTCTTCTTCTACCTCCACACTTGCGCCGGTTATTGTTGAAGGAACGTGCTGCGGCGCTGTCTGCCTGGAGCACCTTTAGTGCACCCATCCCCGCTCGAGCTCCATATGATGCTCTCTGTCTCTTTGTGGCGTCGTATTGTGAAAATAACGTGGGCGCGGCAGGAGTGGTGGGAGCAATGGAGCCACAAGTCTCACAGGCATTCCCTGTGGAAGGGGCATTGTAGATGACACTGCCATACCCGGGCCATATTCTTGGCGCTCCACCGTGTGTATCTGTGTGTTGCCGATTGGTTCCACGGCGATGGGGGACCCATAAAGCTCGTGAGTGAGGTGGACAGTTGGGGCTTGGATTCTCCGATAGTTGTTGGGAAACACTGGGTCGCTCAGGTAGTGAGTCTGTCGATGCGGGTCTATTTCTTCTGCAGCATAGTATAGATCTTGTTTGGGGGGGGGGGGGGGGGGGGGGGGGTAGGGGGACACTGTGTGCTTGAACAACACGAAGTGTACGTGTCTTTTTGTGGTCCGCTTGGTTTTTCCTCGCCCCTTACCATCTGTACTGTACCTTGGGGCCCATCTGTGCGGCCGCTGTTTTGATATCTTCTGTTTCGGTTGCCTAAAAAACGACTCGCTACCGCCCGGAGGGCGGTAGCGAGCGCGCGGAGGGCGCGTCGACTGGTGGCAGCTCGAGTAACTGACTCCCTGAAAGCGTCTATAATTTTAGTTCATATGTATCCTTTTTCTTGTTTTTTTTTTATTATTGTGCTGTTTTTGTTTATTATCCCCGTTGCTGCCACCAACTCTTCCGGCTGGTCTGGCGTACGATCACCTTACTTATTTTAGTATGCTAGTAACCTCCAAATCTACCTTAATTTCACATTATAAAATGTACTTTTGCTTTATAAAAGATCACAGCTGGCACACTTTTAATGCAATCATGTTTTGCGAAAAGTTCACATTTCTTACTGCGGTATTGTGCTTGCCTGTTTTTTGTACGAACGGAAATGTCGAGCAACGAAGCACCGGAAAGGGTGCCTGGGTGGAAGCCATTCAAAATTGTCTTAGTGACGTTCCTTTCGCGCCACGCACCACACTTTTGTTACATAAGGGTTGTGACTTATATATTTCACTTCGAATAATTAGCCCATATTTTGTGGAGGTTGAATTGGCAACAATACCACGCG